TGCCATAGAATAAGCTGCTAGTTTACATAACTATTATTTAATGTAGAAACACAGTTTACACATGATGGCATTTTAAAATGACTAAAGCTAAATGAGAAACTAATAAATATTAGTATGGGAATGATGGAATTCCCGTATATTTTTTCTGACTCATTGACATGTTGACTAAAAACAGATTTATCGGTAGATATTAGGATTTTAGAACCACTCTTCCTACTCTATTCATTCATTTTGTTATTCCACAGTGATTATAGTGGCGTAGATAAGTGTCAGGTTGCCACTGTTGTCTTGATTGTCGTGGGTTCGATTTCCGACATGGAAATATGTCTGTATATATATCATGTTCAGACAAGACGACATTTTACAATTAAAAAAATCTGAATAGAAAATTAAGATTAGTATAGGAATTTTTATATATATTTTTGTGATCAAGTTTAAGAATGAAGAAGAATGAAGAAGAAGAAGATATTAGAAACAAAGTATCTGTACAAGTATGCATTTACTACTAAACTAACAAAAAAAGGTCAATTTGTAGAAAAAGTGCATAGTGTTGCAAAATTCAAGCCCTTAGAGGAAAAACATATTTTGGGGAAAGTCTGAAATTAATAAAACAAACAAAGCGGGTCTATACATTAGTATTGTAGCCTGTACGCCTATATCTTACTTTTATTATTATTATAAACGTGAAAGTTTAGGTGTTTGGTTGTTTGTTACTCATTCACGCCAGAATAGCTGAACGGATCTGAATGAAATTTGGCACAGAGATAGATTATAGTCTGGAATAGCACATAGGCTACTTTTTATCTCGGGTAAAATGTACGGTTCCCGTGGGATAGGTATAAATTGGGATAAATGCCTATATCGTCACTACGTTTAATCCCTTGGGATTCGAATCTACGGGGTAGGTACGGTGATATGAAAGTGTTTCATTTGTTAGTTTAAATTAATACGAAATATTGCCAATGCAGTGGAAAACTCTATATTATTGTGGTGACGATACATTAAATATAGTAATTAAGAATCCAGCTGATTCATGGCTAGGCTCGGATAGTTTATTTCAAGCAAAGGCGAATTGAGGCTACAAGCTTTTGTAGCGACAGCAAATAATATTCCTTCATTCAAAATTAAATATTTATTTCTTTGTTTGTCCTCGACATTTATTTATTTGTTGAATTAAAATGTTTGAATAAAAACATATAAAAGATAATGTACATAAAAGAATGAAATTGCAGCGTGTATTTAATGTTGTTGATAAATATATTTTTTTTAAATTTGTTTATTGAATACTTGTGATTTAATATAAATCTATAAACGAGATATTCAGATAAATTGAAAGATGAAATTGTGATGTACGGTTGTCAATAATCTGAAATAAAATCTTCTAGTTTTATAAGTATTTTACAAACTACAGCAAGAGCTCAATTTTACATCTTTTCAACCAACTTCAAAAAAAGGAAAAGATACTCAATTCAGTTGTATGTTGTTTTTTATGTTCGTCACCTCAGATCTTCGTCATTTATTAATCGATTTGAAAAAGTTTTTTCTTGTTTAAAAGTATATCTAATGTCTGTTGGTTTTATTTAAATAAGAAGAAGAAATAACACTCCTAAGTGTGGAAAAATAGCTAATAAAAATTTAACGTAATTCTAATTGTCATATTGACTTGAAACTTTGCAAGTGTTTGTATTTCCGTTGATTGAGCAGCGATTCAGTATCGTCGAGCTGATCGGATAGTAAGGCCAGAAGGTAGTTGAACTCTACAACGGCTATTAGTAGATATTTTGAGCTTGGGCTTATTTTGTTTGATTTGACAAGTCGTTAGACATTTGGACTTTGGCAAGACGTTAGAATTGGATTGGATTTAGAACCTAATTTTTTTAGTGTTACTAATAAAAGCGAATTTTAGTTTATCAGACTTTATATAAAAATTGGAATCAAACTAACTTAAACGGCTTAAGCCAATATTTTATTAAAATACTTTCTTCTCATTTTGCTACTTAAAGTGTTACCGTAAAATATCTCATTAGCTATCTATAGTAAATGAAAACTTTCGTACGTTTTTTTACTTTTTAATGTTTTGGAGTCGGTTTTTTTTTGTTATCACTAATTTTAAGCCTGTGTTGCAGTTTAGACACATGTATAGTCACATAGATATAATAATAATATTTTTTACGAACCATCTCGCTTACAAATAACAAAAAAAAATTATTTCATATGCTGGCTATACCACATTTTAGGTAGGTATTTTTTAATATAAGTGAATTTTTTAGTTGTTTTTAAGGAGCTGAATTATAGCTGTTATAGAAGATATTTATTTTCTGACGATACTCTCAACTTGAAAAAAAGCTGTAGAAAGCAGCACATCGTTTGTTCACAAAATACTTCACGCGAACACTTTTACGAGAAAAACGTGTGAAAATGTGGCCTGGATTTGATTTTTAAATTAAAATGTCCGTTACAATCTAAATAAATGTTTTTCAAATGACTTCAAAGCTTATGTTATTTGTGAGTACTTATTTAACGGTTTCAATTAACGAAAAGGAGGTCTTATTCAGTGTAACTTTTAAAGCACTTAAAATTCGCTTGAAACATATATGAGGGTGATAAAATATATTTTGTTAAATTTTTAACACTACCATCGTATTTTTATAGAAATGTCCTATTGTAAATGAATTGCTATGTTATTTGTGATTCGTACTACGACATTCGGTTTATAAATGCCCATGATAAAGATTTCTACAGACGGTTGTGAACACGGCACTTTGCTCATAAGTGCTCTTACTTGTCCGAGATACTTATCAGGTTAACTCTGTACCAATTTTACAATATTTTTATGATTATATTGATTGTTTTATTATATTTATATTTAAGTATAAAGTATTTTGAAGCACTTTCAATATTTTCCAATTGTTTGGTATTTTTTAGATGATCGTAGACATATTTTGAAATGCTTCATTAAAATGTTATTAAATGCTTCTTTATTATTACTTTTGAATAATTGAATAATGTGTTATTATTATATTCAGCCCTTTTTAACGTCCCACTGCTGGGCACGGGCCTCCCTTCAATACGAGGGGAATCAGGCCATAGTCCACCACGCTGGCCAAGTGCGGGTTGGCGGACTTCACATGTCTTTCGAAAACTAGCTAGGTTCTCTCAGACATGCAGGTTTACTCACGATGTTTTCCTTCACCGTAAGGCAAGCGGTAATCATGTTAGAAATGATTCGCACATGAAAATATCAGTGGTGCGAGACCCGGGATTTGAACCCGCTTCACTCGGTGTCCCAAGCAAGCGTGTTACCACTGAGCTACTACTGCCTACTATTTCAAAATATACATTTTATTATTATTATAATAAAATGTATATTTTGAAATGGTTTTCTATCAATCTCCCGCATATACATATATCATCAGGCTTTAAACAAACATGCCCCATATACACTAATATTAAAGAGGTAGTTTGTTAAACGGTAGCAGTCGTATATACTGAAAATTCTTTTATTAATAGAGTTTACATTTCATAGTGACATAGTCTGCTCTTTAACATGGTCCTATGGTATATTAGTTCATTGCAAACTGTTAATCGTTAAGGCAGGGTAAATAAAATTGAAGTGTCTGTTTGTAATGTCAAAAATACAGTGTTTTACTAAATGCATATGAAATTATATACGGTACTTATAAGAAAAAAACATTTTATAAAACTGTCTGTCTGTTTGTTCCGGATAATCTCTGAAACGGCTGGTCTAATTTTGACGGGGCTTTCACTGGAATATAGCTGATGTTGTAGGGAGTAACATAGGCTACATTTATTTTAGAAAACGAATTAGGGTTCCGCTCAAAAAAACGTACCTAGGGACGAACCCGAGCGAAGCGGGGGTGAGTCACTAGTATGAAATATGTTTAACCAATACAAAATATTTATCATGGGCAAGAACAAAACCTATGACCTTTACTCGAACAGGGAACGGTAGGGATTAAGTATAGAGGACGCTTCTTTTCCTCTTAATTCAATGAAGGATGGAATGAAGATATATATTGTATTATTTGTTGAGACATACATATATTTTAGGTGGAAATTGTAACGAAAAAAGTAACTTTTATTTTTTTCAAAAGATTTCATTATTGAGACCTTTCTCTTTGCCCTATTCTTATTTTTCTTCCGGTCATTTCCATTTTCTTAAGGTTTTTAAATACATGTTCATTTTTTGAGTGATTTTTTTCCATTTTTAGTAGATTTTATTTGATTGAGTCGATCTAAAATATAGCTTAGTTTCTGTGTTTTTTTAATATATACATGGTTCATATTATTTTAAAAAAAGCGGAGCCAGAGGCATTCACTAGTATAAAATACTTGTACACATATTTTGTTTGGTTATTAAGAATCCTTCAGAGTGAACTAGCTTCGTACAAGGTCCGTTAGTTAGACGTTATTTGAAATTTATAAGCACTCCAGCTTGCTGCCGGCACCTAACATTTTATAGGGCATCGATCTTTGCAGGCATTTGAGTCTTAGCGAAAATGTACAGAATCTATGCCTATTATATTTGGATTAATTTTGTAATAAATTTTATTCTTACCATATTAAAGCCTTTATTATATACTAGCGGCTTACCCTCGCTTCCCTCGGGTTTGCCTCTAGAAAAACAAAAATAAATCTATGCCACGGGAACCGTATGCCTATGTGTTATTCTCATGTTTGAACTATATTATTGTAAAGTTTCATTCAAAACAATTCAGTAGGTTTTGTGTGAAAGAGCGACAGACCATACATCTATAAGTCCAGACAATCATTTATCTTCACAAACTTTCGCGTTTATAATATTATTAGAGTACTAGCGACTCACTGTGACATACAAACTACTATAGACTAGAAGGAGTCAAAATAATAAATAATATTTTCTTATTGCAAACGAGAAATAAATTATAAGTTACGAAAGTTTTATATATATTTTAATTAAAATTACAAAATAATAATCTTTTCAAAATATTAAAATCTCAATGAGAGAGAGTCCCAGCGACTAATACGATGTCGTCGTATAGGATCGCAAATAAGAACGGACGGTCCACTTTGAAGGGGATTGTAGGCGTCAAAGATGTATATGTAATATGCAAACCTGAAAATAAATTGTCGATTATAATTAATGACGTCATATAACAGAATCGTAGAAAAGCTAAAACAGGAAAGTCAACCGGCCCAGGCATAAAAATAATAAAAACTTATTAAGGAGGAAAATCTCAATGTTCGTGTATCTTTCAAAATTTAAAGTCTGACTGGTGATATGCCAAAAGATTGGCTGTTATCAACTTTTATCACACTCTCTAAAAAAGTGCAAAAGGAAAAGTGCCAAGAATTTATAATAATTATTATTTATGTTATATTAGTTTGAAATAAATTTATTTTAATTTGAATATAATCCATAAACGCATATTAATCTAATATGATAAACAACTTATAAACACGGTGAGGCACACCGCCCACCAACCTAGAGATCTTTTTGTAGTGCAGGTTCTTACACAAAAATGCAACGAATTGTTTTCCTTTGTTTCATCGATACAAAAAAGCCTTCGATCGAGAGTTTTATGTTCGTCTAAATACAATATTACATGATATCGTAGTTATGTATTTAGATGGCAACAACCTACGTATCCATCTACGATATGTTTAATTTGACAATAAACTAAGTCAAGAATCAAATGCTGAGTACCAAATCCCCCTTCAAACCTCTTACTATAACTTTGAGTCGCTGTATTTCACTAGCGATTTGCCCTTGCTTTGATTGGGTGTGTTCCTAGGTGAAAAACAGTAGCCGTTTCAGCACATTGGAGTTACACAAAAACACACACACACACACACATACAAACAAACACACAAACACACTTGCACACGCTATTGTTAAAAGACGATATGTGACATCGAAACCACTCCAGACTAGAAATAAAGTGATGCATAATATGTTATTGATTACTGATTAATGCATAATACATAATAAATCCCAAGTTTCACTATTTATATCCCCATACCTGTAGCTGCACCGGCGGTGGAGCCCTTTTCATCCACTACTACGAAAGCTTGTTGGAAAGCTTTGTCTACCGACACAGGGGCTTCATTTACTACACCATATGCATCTCCATGGAAGATACTGGATATGCCTACCTGTTAATATCAGAATTTGTGCAAATTTAGTAAAAACTTTTTGCTTGCTTCTTCTTCAGTCGTTTTCTGCCTACGTCTTGCATTTTCTTTGTACATATTCGAAATCAGTTTTAATTGTTATACTTCTATATAACGAAAATATTATCTCACAAGGGTTCAAACCCATGACCAAAACTTATAATTGCACATTTTGACTCAACTTTTACTTTACTTCTTTTTTTCATCTTTAAAAATTAATTGTCATTACCTTAGGGAGGATATTTTTAAGATCGTGTTCGGATTTTATTTCAAATCTAGGAAGATGTAAGTTTATTACAATTTCTGAATGGTTCATTCGATTAACATAATGCAATAGTCCCGTTTCCGAAATCTGCCTCAACACCATCGATAGACCATTCAGATGACTAGGAAGTACCACTACCATTTTAAACTTAGATTCTTTGTAGGGCAGTTGTATCATCTGAAAATATGATCAAATATTTTATGAAATTGAATAAAATAATTGTTACAATAAGCAATTTACGTAACTTACTTAAAAATCATCAACTGTAGGTATATAAGTACCTGGTTAGCTATATTCATAAATTTAGAACTGCCTTATTGCTCTTGTGGCTAGGATTTACGACTGCAAATCCTCAATTTCTGGGTTCGAATAAAAAAATATTGATAGGCTTTTTTGTGAACAAATTATCAGTAGCATTCCGAAATTGAGGCCCTAACAATGCAAAAAATATCCCGTTGCTTCAGATAACCGCCGAAAAAACGTCCGATTTTGCGCTTAATCGTTCACTGGTCACATTGTCGTAATCGCAATTCCACCGAACTATGAGACATAATTAAAAAGCTTTGTGCTTGTGAACTCATTTAAGCACTATAATATACAACTCATATACTCCTAGCTAGTGGCAGTGACAAATAAAATTGGTTAGCCGAAATTGTGTTTGTAGACCTCTTCATTATTTATTAAATTCAGCATTCATACCCTTACACCGGCTCCTTCATCTTCAAAATAATCCAATGATTTTAGAAGATGCATCATGGGTTTCTTTATAAGTTGAAAGTCGTCTGTTAAGAAACAATGCTCTCTGGTCTCACTTTCGTCGAACGGAACAGCCCAGTGGCCCTGGAATAAAGGCAATAATTTTAACGTAAATAATAAGTCGCTACACATCCTGCCTTTTTTCTTTTGCAAATCTAAATACTCAATTCTTATTCAATATCAACGTGCGGTAAGGCGCTCGCTTCTGAAACCGAACCAAGTGGGTTCAAATCCCAGGTCTGGCACCTCTAATATTTTCATGTGCGAATCATTTCCAGGATGATTAATACTAGTCTTACGCTGAAGGAAAACATGTATGTCTGAGAGAACCTAGCAAGTTTTCGAAAAACAGGACGTCCGGCTCACAAATTTCTATTTTGTGCCATACGCCTCCCACGAGCGTCGTGTGTTGGAGTTTGAAATGGGCACCAACTGAGACTCTCTACTTGATTATTTATCTTTTTTTCTGGTTATGTTAATGTCAATATAAATAACACATTTCGTTTAATTATTAAATAATTATTTCATGATCATGATTGTTCATTATTAATTCTTTTATTTATTTAGGACATTACGGTCTCTGAACAACAAACCAAAAGAAACATTTATGTACGCCTCGCAATGCAGGGGGGTGACGGCTAGTATTATGTATAAAAAACTTTAAAAAAATATATTTACCTATTAGATATTCATATCTTAAAATATTGTCGGCTGGCACCGACTTCGAAAATATCTAATTAGGTATCTAATATCTACTCTAAATGAAAACCTCCGTTTAGTTATTTTTTACATTTTAGTGCCTAAAAGTCGGTTTTTTTAATTTCTTTTCCATTTTCAGCGTAGACGTAATAAGTAGGTAATTTGTAAGAAGAAAGTTTTTTAATAACATATTCGACTAAAAAATTTATTTAAAAAAATAATCTATTGTTGTTTTTTTTAAAAACCTTTAAGTGGGACCACCTGGGAAGTATACCATTTGAAACAAAGAAATTTTTTCCAAATCGGTTCAGGCGTCTTTGAGTAATCGGTGAACATACATACATAAAAAAAGATTCCGACGAATTGAGAACCTCCTCCTTTTTGGAAGTCGGTTAAAAATGTAGTAGGTAGAAGGCACCTACCTTGAAGAATATAACGTTATAAAGACCAACAACTAGATCGTACGTAATATCATCTTCAGACACTATTTCATTGATTTTCCCTTTAGTTTTGGTGGATACCTGAAAGTAAATTAAAAAATAAAACTATTTTTACCGGATTTCATACGAGTAATATTATAAATATACATATTTAAAATATATGGTGATCTAAAACTTCCTCAGAATATAAAATTTTTTTTGGTTCCCAACAAAAAAATAAGCCCCAAAAAACCCGAAAAGATTAATTAAAATATGTTGATCTGTTATAAATAACATCACTTTCAAACATTTCTTTCACCAGAGACTGATTGCGTGCTACGATTGGGAGTACATAATATGTCACTTAGAAAACCTTTATCCGCCACTGACAGGTCGCTCGCGATCTCTTTAAGTTTTCGCGGGTTTACGAAGTCGAACTTGCGAAATGTGCAGACAATTTAATTATGTTTGTAAATATATGCCTTTAATTTTGAAAAATAACATTTTTTGTTCATATATTATCTATGAGCATAAAAGAAAGAAGTGAACAATCAATGATAAATATGTTGTATAAATAAAATAAAATGGCAATACTCATTGGATACTATAGGTAATAATGATTTCATTATAATTTATTCGAATAATTGTTATAATTTATTTAATTAATAAATATGTTGGGACATTAAGACACAGCGCCATCTAGTTCTATGGTAAGCTACGAGGCTTGTGTTATGGATATCCGATAGTTGATAAACTAAACATATATAACTTTAAATACATACATATTATAAATATAAACACCCATGACTGGAGTACAAGCATTCGTGCTCATCACACAAATGAATGCTCCCAGCGGGACTCGAACCCGCGACCGTTGGCACAGCAAGTAGGGTCACTACAAACTGAGCCAAACATGTCGTCAAAATATAATACTACACTTGTCTAATTAAGACTTTTACAAAGAGTCTAAGATATTAAGTAACTGAAAGTAAAAACATTACCCATTCATTTATAGTTTTGGCAGCGGATTTTGGGTTGCGAAAATCAATAATATCCGCTTCGCTATTGTATGAGTATGCATTCAAAATGAAGCTGTTGTTTAAACTATATTGGTTATCGATATACACATTATCTGAAAAAGCCAGTAGATCGGGATCCATACTACTCAATTCTCTGCTCAGTTTTCTGTAAGAATCTGTAAGCTGGACGAATTAATATAAATTAAATTGTACATTGTTATTATAGTTTAGAATAGTATAATATGTAATGATCATGCAAGGTCTACTATAGCCGTAAAATCGATTCTTTCTGGTGAAATAGAAAACATTAAATATGAGTATATCAATTAAAAAAAGCATAACGAACAAAAGTACCAAACAAAACCGTTTATTAAACATCGAATAAAGTCAAACATCGCTAGGCAGGTTTATGGGAATATGCAGAATTTGTTGTAGAATCTCAAATTTCAATATATTTTTTAGAACCCTTGGAAAGTTATAAATGGTAATGTCTTCTACTTCTCTTATCTACTTACATAAATATGTTTAACTTTACAACCAACACGATGTACGAGTATGTTGTAGGCTTATTAACTCAACCAAAAATTTGTGTAAACTTACATGTCTTTTATTTGCAGCTCCAAGGAACTCGACTATCTCATCTGCGACTTGGCCCTCAGCGCCAAATGCGTAAAGCAACAATAGCGTAAACACGCCAAGAGGAGAAAGTATCACGTTCTTGTCATCTGATGACTCGTATACTTTCTATAATAATAATAATAAAAACTATTTATTGCACACACAAAAAGATACTTAGTCAGGCTTATATTAAATTACTCGTAGCTGATGAAGCAGACGTTGTCCTATGGTAACTCGAATAAATTAATGGTCTTTGAAATCATACAAAATATTTTATAAATAATAGTACTTTCAGTTTTTTTTGAATTTCGAAATATTAGCCGTTTTCATGTTTTTATCTGTTATTATATTTTCTTTTTTTACTTTTAACGTGAAAAGCAAAGAAATAAACAGTCAAACAGATATACAGACAAAAACTTCAATAGCTATTCTTTTGGGATCTACAATCACTACAAATAGTAAGGGATACTCCCTTAGTGTCTATAATTTATATCTATAACTATTTAACAGAACTGGTAACTTTAATGAAAAATTACAAAGAAGGATGCTTTAGAAGACGTGATTCTTTTACATAATAACAAAGTCAGAATTACCCGAAGTAGTCGCATTGAAGCCACGTCAAGGGCTTCGGGCAATGGTTTTGGCTAGGATTTATAGCGCCCAATTCCTATCGCCAAGCTTGCCGCGCTAACTAAAAATATACCGTTCAAATTTATTAAAAATTTATAAATGGTGAAGCATGATAACTTAATTCTTGTCACACGATTCGTAAGTTTGTGAGTTGGTTATTTTTATTTCCATTTTATAAGCTTAATAATTATAATATAATGATGTCCTCCTGAACGATTTCGGTTACGGTAACCAATTTCACTGAGACTAGCCCAGTGCGCAGGTGATATAATAGTACTCAAGTGGAAGTGCAGACACAAGTGCATTTTCTATACCAGTCACTCTCATATTCTGGTGAGATTAAGTACAAGTGGATTAGGCCTACTGGGGATGCCATAAAAAACGCCTCACTTACTTTACCTCATGTATATGATGTGATACGGAAATGAACTTTTGGCTGAAGTAAACTTAGCGGCGCTTGTACGCTCAAACTATTCATTTTCAAAAAAAAAGATAACGACATAAATTGTAAAATATTATCTCTTATTTATAATGTGACAACTATTTTCATCGTAAAATGAATCGGAAAGGATATATTATCAAAAAACTGTTTTTGGACGCCATCATTCCAATATGGTGGCGCTCGCGGCAATGTTATGAGGTAACAAAGCAAAAATTATTATCCTCTTACCTCAAAGGTCGCAGAATAAATACTAACGATAGACAAGAGTGAAGTTTTGGGAGCTTATGAAATATTCCGGTTAAATAAATGTCATTCGAACTAAAAGGTGGTGGTGAACCATAAGAGATTGGCCAACTCTGGAGGACAAAATGTACTACGAGCATTTCTAGGACTTAATGCTATATAATCACGTAGTCATGAGATGGTAACTACAGATACTATCATCTACGAATATGTGTCCTATAATAAAATATTTATGGAGTGGCCCACCCAAAATCCACCGCTACTATTAGGTTTAGTGGATGTTTAGTAAAAGAGTACGACGACAGCTACAGCACTTAAAACCTACGGATACTGGACAGGCAAACGTACGAAAAAATCCTTTGATTCTGCAGAACATGTATAAAGTATTGCTTTACCAAAGCTTTTATGAGAATCAAAAACACCCATTTATTTAGTTTACAGTTATTCTTGAATTTAGTTCTTACTAAATCCATTACGATAATCAAAGAAGCTGTTACAGTATGAATTATACGTACATATATTTTGTTGTTAAGGTGTTATTCTATTTATTTAGTCTGACTTCAAACATTATTTTATCTACCAAATATGTAAATATAACAAAAGCAGTTTTATGTTAAATGTAAAAAATAATAATTTATTTTCTATTAACTTTCAACGTTCTCCCTGTAAACGTTCTCATGACTAATTAATAATATGGAGAACTCACCCAAGAGAAAAATTATAGCGATGCCCATGTTGCCACTTCACTCGGTTCTGTACGACTGTAAAGTACAGGTACTGTTGCGAAACTTTATTTTATTAGTTTTTTTCTAATAGTGTAAATAATTTCTATTTAAATTTATCACAGATAATCATCTACATTACATTATTTTGTCCGTCTATTAATTATGTAAATCTTTGGTACTTATTGTTGTTATAATCCAGAGGTCAACGGATGACCTGGTGAGAGTGCCCGTTGCTATTCAGTAAATGGAGGGCTAAAAAGACTAAAGGTTAGCTTAGAAATTTATGGGAAATATCAGGTATGTCCAACGATAGATGTCTTTCTAAAATATAAAATTAATAAAATAGAACAACATATACTCCAAGATTTTACTAATGTGAGGTGCCCTTCCCAAAAACCATCCGTTCTACGAGCGATTAGCCCTGCTCACTGCCAATTCAGCTGTGACGGTAACTTTTTGCTTTATTATGAAATCTTATAAATTGAAGTGCCTTTTTTGATAGAAATCTTTTGTTTACGTTATAATAAAAATTAAAAAAAACCGACTTCCAGGTACTAAAATGTAAAAAATAACTAAACGGGGGTTTTCATTTAGAATAGATACCTAATGAGATATTTTCGAAGTCGGTGCCAGCCGATGCAAAGCAAATCTAATATATTTCGATACGTAAAATACATATTTAGCTATTAGAAATTCATATCTTAAAATATTGTCGGCTGGCACCGACTTCGAAAATATCTGATTAGATATCTATTCTAAATGAAAACCTGTTTAGTTATTTTTTACATTTTAGTGCCTGGGCACTAAAATGTAAAAAAGTCGGTTTTTATTTTTTGTAAAAAAGTTTTTATTTTTCCGTTTTTAGTGTAGACAAAATAAGCAGGTAATTTGTAAGAAGAAAGTTTGTTTAATAACATATTCCATTAAACAACTTATATAAAAAATATATTTATTGTTGATTTTTTTAAAAACCGCTCGACCGATTTCGATAAAATTTATATGGATGCATACCCTTTGAAACAAAAAAAGTATTTTCAAATCGGTTCAGGCGTCTTCGAGTAATCGGTGAACATACATAAAAAAAAGAAAAAAAAAGATTCCGACGAATTGATAACCTCCTCCTTTTTTTTGAAAATCGGTTAAAAAAAGAAAAAAAAAAGATTCCACCGAATTGATAACCTCCTCCTTTTTTGGAAGTCGGTTAAAAATGAAAGAAAAAGAGAACGCATAGCTTTCCGGAGACTGAATTGCGATGTTAGCCAATTGTTAATTTACTTGGAAAACCAAGTGTAGCGAATTTAAGATCTTGGGCTAGAGCATTTGAGATTTTTATATGCGAATCTCATTTTCAACATGGTCTGCTCATGATTGCTAGAAATATCGCATCATATTTTGTTACAATCTTATAAGATGCGACGTAGGGATCACTTTTGTTTACTTTTATTTAACATTTTTATCAATGATATTTGAGATTTGATCAAAGGTTCTTTTACAAGTAGATACAAAGTCGTTTAACTGGTAAAAGCTTTTTTGTTGTCCAATGTGACTTCGGTCAAAGTATAATAAAATAAGCAAATAGAACTTTTACTGTTAAGAAAAATATTCGATTTAATTTTGAACAAAAAATCTGACCGTTTGTATCCTATCCTTGTTTTTTGTCATTAAAAATGATATTATAAATTATATGTCATTATTCATCCTGTAGGTAAGGAAAAAAATAACTTATATTAATACTTTTATTAATTTATATAGGTTTAATTATTCTCACATTTTCTTATCAGTGTATAAAATATGTGCAATAAAGCGTATATAATCAATACATACAATTAAGAGTTTAGACTAATAATGTAAGAAATCGATTATGCAAGGGTGCAATGCATAAAAAACATTATATCAAATTCCTCTGTATAAGAATACGGCATTTGATTGAAATTTTAGGCTTTATCTATGTATGTTGTACAATAAGCTGTTGATATATATATAAATAAATAAATAAATAATTAAAAATATAAAAGGCAAAAGTGATTGACTGGTGTATAAACGCACAGGCCAAACCCTAGGCTAGAAAATTGAAATTTCGCACACGTATTTTTCATATGACAAAGGCATCCACTAAGGAAGGATTTTTCAAAATTCAACCCCCAAGGGGGTGAAATAGGAGATAAAAGTTTGTATGAAACTTTTTATTCCTTGTACATATTTGCATTAAATTTCGTATGAATTGAGTACGGTAAAAATAATGAGTTACGTATTTCAGCGTTTTCCAAAATTCAACCCATAAGAGGGTAAAATAGGGGATGAAAGTTTGTATGAAACCTACCTTTTTAGAGATTTTATTTGTAGTTTTAGCGCGAGCGAAGCCGCGGATTCTGCTATTTAGGATAATTGGGTTTTTGAATTTATTTTGTGATAAATGGAAAGATCATATATAAGTTTTATAACAAAACTATTTTTTTTCGCAATAATATTCAAAAGTTATTTCAAAATAAAAATTCATTTTTGAATCCAGTACCGAAGAGACGCCGACAGTTCCCGAACAAACTCGAGCGCGTGTGATGTCATTATATTAGTTTTCACTCATTGCAGTTGATATAGAAATAATATGTACAGTGTGTTTGGATCTATTTAATTTTGTGGTCATTGTTAAATATTCAAATTTATATTGAAAATGTCGAATCTCAAAAGTTATCGTTCTTGTTTTGTACTATTATGTACGAAAACTACAAAAGCAACTTCGACAAAATGTTTTTAAATGTTCCCCAAGATGACAAATGTCGAAATAAATGGTTTCAAGCAGTGTACCGTAATAATCCCAAAAGAATTTTTTTTGTTGTGAAGATCATTTCGATGTAAGTATTTCTTAACACCATTGTTATTAATTATTATTTATCTAAGTATACAAATCAAATAATTATTATATACTTAGTAGTAGAGTTCAGTAAATATATTTTTAACTGGACTCCAAATCATAACCTGTAAAATCGTATCATTAAAAAAATTTAATAAAAGCAGGATATATAAATTATAATAGCAGAATTACACCGAGCGTCATTTTAAAAATAACATAAATATATCAAGATCAGGAATATTATCAGACTTTGCCTTAATAAATCCTTTATACACACACACATCCTTTATACACACGCACACACCTTTATACACACATAGCTAATCGTAACCAACTAACAATTCATGTTTTAACAATAAATTTGCGATATTATTGTCTAGACACATGTAATAGCCGTAAACGCTGTATTTTTATTAAATAGCTATAACATTATGACATCACAACTATGGTGACCAATCATGGCGTGTTTATAGTCACGTGATTTTTTAAAAACTTTATCAATTTTTAGTTGTTTATAAATAATTGAAATAATTTTTTTTTTAAGTTTTTTGCATTAAATATCAATATTATTAATAATAAAGTTTTAAAATACATAAAAAAATCCTAGTAGCCTATGTCACTCTTCAGCCCTCCAACTATATCCACACCAAAAATCACGCCAATTCGTCACTCCGTTTCGACGTGAAGGAGAGAAAAACAAACAAACAAATAGATTTCAGAATTATTTGAAACTTTATATTAATGCTCTTCAATAAAATTAAATAAATACGTGTTTAAGCATTTTTTTTACATTCATCCTATAAGGGGGTAAATCAGGGGGGGTGGACTTTGTATGAAACTAACCTTTTAAAGATTTTTTTGTAGTTTTAGCGCGAGCGAAGCTGCGGGTTCTGCTAGTGTATTTAAATCCTTAATGATTCTCCTCCCTTTACTGTTATATGTTCCAAGAATCAATCACGGCTCTGGCTACTTCGTATATATTTACTCTACGTATATTGCTATTTGCGTTGGTTTACGAAGCTCTGAGTGGCTGTTCTAATTTACGTATACTAGCTTCATATATAGGCCATTAAGGAAGGCATACACTTATTAGATATTCATAAGTTATAAGCTGTATAGTGTATACTCATGAAGAATTTCTATATCAGATGGTGAAGTTGTATTTTATTTAATTTTCATATAAAGTTTGTTCTATATTAAAACTATCGGAACTATCTTTGTTTAGCTTACGATGGTCGTAGGTCACTACATAAGTTTTGTCGTACGTAAAATATATGTAAGTTATTGTTTAGATAAGGATAGATTCATAAAGGCAAACTAATATAAACAATAATAGTACAAGTTTTGTGACGTACAATAGCTTTGCAGATTTATTGCAATATTTTGAAAATTGAACATGACTGAATTTACTCGTCGCGACGTTCGTGTAATAATTTTATATTGTTTTAAGCGTAGCTTTACTAAGCACAATGTTTTGAACAAATGAGTGGTGCATTAAGTCATACTTGTCCTTCTTTAAGGACTATAGAAATGTGGTTAATTCAGTTAATTCCCGATGATTTTAACTTGGAGGACGATTCGAAGTCGGGTAGGCCAATAGAGATAACTACCGATAAAAAAGTCAAGGCATTGTGAAAACTACTTAAAGAAGACCATCATGTGTAGTATTGACAGATCGAGGAAATCCTAAATTTAAATGCAACGACTGTTTATCGAATTCTTCACGACGATATAAAAGTTAGGAAACTCTGAACACTCTGGGTGCCGTGTTTGATGACTGAGGAGCTGAGGGACCAACGTATGAATTGGCGTCATGAGACGTAAAAAAAATTTGGTGGCGGTCGATCTAAGTA